ACCTTTGTAGAAGAGGCTCATTTGAAAATGCTCCTGAAAGATATGTTATCAGAACACGATCTTAAGTAGAGTAGATAAAACTTTGAGAACCTTGAAAATGGTTATTGAGGAATACAGCATTTATCTTGCTTTCCTTGATTAAAGAACATTCATACATACATATTCATCCTGTACTGATAGGTAGGAGAGGGGAGGCAAGCCCAAAGAGGTGACCAGTCCCTATTCCAGAAGTTCTGGGTTGTTGCCTAAGTGAAGAAGTATGCTGATCTGCTTTCAAACTTCTGTAAACTTCAGCTTAGTGGTAGAAAAGTCGGATCCAAACATTTAGTTTCAGTGCCTGAGCAGACCATTCACTGATTTTCACCAATTCTGTTCTCATCACCTACGTTCTTATCACCATCTCCCCCAGAGGCCATTGCAGCGATGCTGCTTGTGTGCTGGTTGTCCATGGCTGAAATAGTAACTTTAGAATCAAGGGCAAAGTGAGGGAGGGTGATCCCCACAAACTGTTGATTCTTTGGTCTCCCATTAGACCCACGGAACTAAAATATCTAGAGGGCGAGCTAAGGAATAGGCACTTTTCTCGGCTTTCCAGGTAATTCACCTGAGTCCTAATATTTTCAAAACATGGTAGTAGTACATTTTCCTGGTTTATTTTAAAAATCAACAAGAAAAGGGATTATCTTCCTCTCCACTTATACAATCTGGTTAAGAGACTCAGGTGAGCTGCTAATTTCAGGAGAACACAGGCACTTACTGACCGCCCAGATGCCTGCACCTAGATCATGGAAGCATTTAGAACACCAGGAGGAAAATAGTATTCTCATAAATGCCAGTCTGTGAAAAGCAGCACTAATGAATCTTTACGTATTTTATGAAAAATTATCTTATTATTCAGAAAAATCAATCAGACTAAAACCAGAATTCTAAAACCCACGATTATCTTGAGGCTTCAAGAAAAATCCTGTAATCTGACAGGTGAGGGGACAGACCAGGAGAGACTGGGAAGTTTTAACACAGGTATTGGTTGGCAGATTCAGGACCCAGGTGTTCTGAATAAAGCCCAGGGATGTATTCACCGTATCATCAGTCTCTTTTCCGCCCTTTTCTTCCCCATGTTTCTTATGCTAGAAACACATTCTCACTCAACAATCCTTTATCACTGCTCTAATGATGAGTGATGCTTTTCCTTTCATTCCCAGTTTTTTCTTATTGTTTAGAATTTCCACTCCAAACCTTGACTTTCTATAGAGGATTTTCTTAGTCTTTCGAAGTCACAGGTTCGGAAAACAAGCAAACAAAATACTTGACTGCTTCTCGCAGCACTAGAAATAGTTACAGGTGGTGAAAGCACATTTTTGTTCATAAATATCATTTTCAACTGTCTAATTTCTTGGCAGAATTATTACTGTGCCAGGTTCTTTTCTGTGTCCTTGCAGCCCACACTGTACCTTCAATCAAATGGCTTGTATCTGACATTACATCTCTTGTAGCACAATATCAAGTACCATATAGCAATCATTAGGACACAAAAGAAATAGCTATTGTCATACTGAAGAAAAGATCCCTCAGAGAACAGGTACCTTTAGCATTGGAAATGGAAACTTACATCTCAGTCAAGTACCTTTTTACTGTCTCCAGAAGGTGGAATTATCTGACACATTAAATATCTTATTTGAATAGCAAAGGGATTATGAGAGTTACTTCCTGAAATAAAAATAGAGGAAGATATACCTCAAGTCAAATCACGGTTGTGATATTTGTTTACCAGAATTCAATTTGAGTGACCTGAGCATTTTATTGACAACATCTAAACCTATGAATCCTCAAAAAAATCGATTCCATATTAGACATTAGTTTACACTGCATAAAAATTATTTTTTTTTAAAAAAAGTAGGCATAAGCTTAAAATGGATGACTTCATTTCTTAGATTTAAATCTTCATAAACTTCTTTTTATAAATCTAAGCTTTTCAAAAATTTACTCATCTTATTTAAAAACTTCTTAGCTGGGTTAACAACGTTTGCCATAGCTTTTAAAACTTAAAGCTGAGGCCGGGCACGGTGGCTCATGCCTGTAATCTCAGCACTTTGAGAGGCCAAGGCAGGTGGATCACGAGGTCAGGAGTTTGAGACCAGCCTGGACAACATAGTGAAACCCTGTCTCTACTAAAAATACAAAAATTAGTCATGTGTGCTGGTGGGTGCCACCTAGCTACTCGGGAAGCTAAGGCAAGAGAATCGCTTGAACCTGGGAGGTGGAGGTTGCAGTGAGCTGAGACCACACTCCGGACTAGCAACAGAGAAACACCACCTCAAAAAACGAACAAACAAAAAACACTTAAAGCTCAAATGTGAAATGCAATAAAGATAAAAAATGTTTACTATCCCTTATATAATACCAATTTTTTCCTTGACAAATGTAATTTTCTAAAATTTTAATTTTTACTTAAAAATATTTAAAGGAAACAGATTATGTTTGAAATTATACTTCTCAATAACTACATTGAAATACAGTTTATTCCCTAGGTAACAATTCCGTAAAGATTTTCATTACATCATAATGTGTTTGTAACTTCTTGTTAGAAAAGGTGTCAGACTACATTATGAAAAAATGTCTGGCACCTGAAAGCAGGATAATAAAACAGTTAAAAATGTAAGCTAATGAATCATACTAACTATGCTCAAATCTTACCTTTTCTATCTACTGCCTGAATGTCTTTGGGCAAATTCTTAAAGTCTCTGTATATCAGTGTCCTCATTTTAATAATATTTGTTTATAAAAGGTTATTGGGAGAATTAAATGAGCTAATACAGGTAAAGTGCTTAGACCAGTGCTAGGCTGGGTGAACTGTACCAATTATCAGCACTGCTGTTACTGTATAGGTAGAACTAGTATTATATTGGACAATAAATTGTTATATTGTAGTCTATATTTTTATTTTAGTAGGCTCTCAGTAACAAATTATGAAATAAATGCTTGCAGATAAACATTATTTATACTGAAATATTTGACGTTCACTTTTTTTTTAACGTTGAAATAAACAGAGCACTTTACTTAGGAGGTATTCATACAGAGTTGTAATTGCTTTTGCTTTTTATCTAAGTTCTCTTCCCAAAGACGGCTAAGGAGTACAGGGGCCTGGCCTTGGCAGAGGAGATCTCTTAGGGTAGGGCTGAGAGAACTGTGTCTCTTACCAGACTTTGAGTTCCGAACAAAGAGTCAAGGATGGGAAGAGAAGAAAACGAACACCTGTCAGCCAGAGAATAAAGACACCAAAGGGGAGGCCTGGAAGCCAAGCCACTGGAGAACCAGAAGGGAGGAGGGAGAGGAGAGAACGATGCATCTGGTAATAAGCCTGAAATTGTTACCGGGACTCACCCTGGGCAAATGCTGTCTCCCATAGTGACCTTCACGAGATCTGATTCCTACACGCGGAAACTGTATTTAAAATGCAGGGGACTGGACTTGGCAGTTAATGCATTTCTTGTTTCTATTCCTGCGGCTTAGACAGCACCAAGCATAATCAGTACTTTTATTTTAGGCTAAGACACATACTCAAAATGATATACCCTACCTTTAAAAAAGAATAGCATACATTTACGACCTTATGACCAAAACAAAAATAAAAAGCAACTCCCTTAGCAGCACAAAGATAAACATTTCAATTTCCCATCATCAACATATGTATCAGAATACAGTAATGCGATACAATTATTAACAGAAACACAGAACTAGAAGCTACAGCAGACACTGCATCTAATGATGTTCAGGCCCCTGAAAGATGACTTGGGAGGAAAACAAAGAAACAAAAATAACAGCGAATTTCCAATCAACAAGATTGAGTTGTATCTGAAAATAAGACATCTCTAGAAAGTGATCCCTTTTGTATTTAATGTTTTTTCTAAAGGGAGCATGGGGAATTCTAGCTTGATCTTGCTGGCAATCTGCTGCATATTCATCTTGTGCTAGAGAACACAATTTGCATAATGTGGGACCCACTTCTGTGTGTGGGAACACCCTTCAGGGAGCTCAGATTGAAGGCTCAAGAATAAAAAGAGCCAGCATTTTTGAGCTCACCACGAAGGGTATCCACAGCTCAGATCTTACTTCCCTGTGATAGGATTTCCCAAATTGACTGAAGTAAATAGATTACATTTTCTGGGAGGTCCCCTGGGGAATGTTTCTGTTTAAGATACACACAACCACATACCAATACACACACACACAATATGTGTGTATGTTTACCTATAGATTTCTTTCGTTGGTGGTAATATTTAACAATGACAGAGTTTTAAAGAATATACAGGAGAATGACATGTAAGAGCATATTTTAATGCATTTAAGACTCTATCAATTTTTGCTCCAGGCATAATGGCAAGAGGCACCCTTAGCTAAGTTTTTATTGCTTAAACCTGTGGCAGAAATAAATTCTAACTACATTATATGCATGAATGCGGCACATCTGAGTGCAAATTAGTTGTAAATAGAAAATATTTCAGAAGAGGCCATATGGCTTGAAAAGAGCTCAGCTTCCAATAAATATTACCAGAAAACACAGAGACTTGCAAAAAATACACATTTCAATAAGTAGTTATTTTTCAGTAAAACATACAATTTAAACTCATGTTAAAAAATACACCGCTTTTTTTTTCTTTTTTTAGAATTCATATTATTTCTTTAAAAAAAGAGTTTTAGGAGAAACTCTAAGAGAAGTGCATTTCTAACTAGAAATATAAAAGATTAGATTCACGTGTAAACTAGGTTTTTTTTTTTAAATCCAGCAAAAGCACTATTTAAGACATAGTATTACACTTCCTTTAGATATACTCATATTACTGAACATTGATGAAACAGCTTCTACAGCATTCTCTCAAAGATCGAATACTAAAGCAAAAACCGGCAGAATCAATAGACACAGAACTTTCTTTTTGTTGTTGCTGCCCTTGTTATATGACATGCATTGAATGAATGGCCAAGATCTTTGGCATAGTACTTACTGATGGGTAGAGGTAACCTTCTCCATTCATGGCTATATACAAGCCTGTTTTCACGCCCTGGATGGCAACAACACGCAGTCCAACTGGTATGAGGTTGAAGAGCGCTGTGAAGATAAACATGGTCTGTCACAAATGGGTGGGAAGAAGCAAGGCATAGTGTAATTTTTTTCTTTCTGATTTATTTAAGAAACATCATCTTTGCCGATACTTTCTAAGAAGTTAAATTACTTTAACTTATCTTTTGCTTTTAAATAACTTACATTTTGCAATCAAAGAACTTATATTTCGCTTTATAAGTAAGAAGTTTCTGCTGTGGGTAAAATTAGTACTTCAGCTTCAACCTTTGTTAGCAGTCTTGCTTACAGCATTCTGAAGAAGTGATGTGATAATAAGCTGAATCAAGCCTGTAATCATGCCTCTAGAAACAGTCTCTGACACCATTAGATACCAAAAGAAATCAGCTGTGAAGACTCTCTAAGAGCAGAATTTTAGAAGTCCAAGTTGAATGTTGATTCTAACCCTTCACACAGAAGGTGTGATTTGTCATTGCAATGAGGTCAGGCCAGAAGTTAAACAGGTGATTCCAAAACTAAATTACTGTTGTAGAACAAACATGATATGCCAGCAAAGCCAGGAAAAGATGTGCACCTGCCAACGAGCTAAATTTAGAAAGAACTAATCAAAACTGAATGGCATGCAAATGTCAGAGAGACTACTCATTTATGTTTCCATGTTTTGTTTCTTCCCTGTTGATAAAGCATTAAAAGCATTTTATATATTTTTCCATAGTGCAGATAGCAATGTTGTAACACTAAAAAAAAAATCTTAATATCCCTTTAACACATTTCCATGCCAGTGTTAATTGAATGTTTAGTGGGTGTTCCAGAATCATTCTTTTTTTTTTTTTGAGATGGACTCTCACCCTTTGCCCAGGCTGGAATGCAGTGGTGCAGTCTCCGCTCACTGCAACCTCCAGCTCCCGGGTTCAAGCAATTCTCTGCCTCAGCATCCTAAGCAGCTGGGACTACAGGCGCCTACCACCACGCCTGGCCACATCATTCTTAACAATACCTGCTTGATGATTTCGGAAATCTTATTATAGATACATTTATAAGAGAACTATTAATTATTTACAGTGAGGTTATCTGCTCCTACTCAAGTCCTTCTTAACTAATTCCACTTCTAAGCCGGACAGAACAGGAACTGAAAGTATTAAAATAGTGACATAAATGTGTTAAATACAATTCCAATGTCAGGCTCTCAACTGTATTGCATAAAGCTAAATCATTTGAAAAATGTCAGCAATTTGGATTTCATTCCAAGGGTCTAAGTAGCACATAATTAAAAACAAACTTTACAAATTGTGTTCTATTTAATTCTCAGGGACATGTTTCCTCTTAATAGGATGAAGAAAATTGCACCCTCTCTTCTGATTATTACATGCTACTGTTCTCAAGATCCTGAGATGTCTGTGCTACACAAATATTAAAGGAAAACCTCAGGCCAGGGCCATGAATAATTACCACTGGAAGAATACTCGGGGGCATCTATGGTTAGCTGGGTATTAGTTTCACTATGTAAACTAATATCAAACTTTCTGCTATAGGATTTTAGGGGATTATGTTATTCTTATGAAAGAATAAGGTATTTTCCCTCATTTCCATTATTTAATATTAAATCTGGACGTGGAGTTGTTAAGTATTGAGAGGTATAGCTGTGCTATTGGCAATTCTCAATATTCCTTCTTGGTGGGAAATGGCTATATTCACTCTTGTTTAGAGTGATATATATATATACCTGAATATATATATATATATATATATATTTATATTTATATATTTATATATATAAATATATATATATATTTATATATGTAGATATATATATATATATATATATATATATATATTTAGAGTGATATATATATATACCTGAATATACCTGAACTGTACCATCTCCCTTACATCTTGAAAGAATGGGCACCATAGAATAATTCCTGATTTATGCACAAAATTGTAGCGGGAAAGCCATAAGCATATGCCCGTCCATGCAAGCTATGCTAACCTAATTAATTCAAAGTTAATTATTCTAACTTTCCTCTTCTAACTTTCACACACTCCGAATGGTATTTGTAGGTGCCATATATTTGATATAGGCCAGGCAGTATAATTCTAGAAAACAAATAGATCATGAATTCACCAAAATGATGTGGTTATGGGAAACAGAAAAATTATGCAAGATCATTTAAAGTAATCATATTGAAAAAAATGCTAGTTTTTTTTTTCCCTTGGGTTTTGGTTGGGATCTGAATTATAAAATGCAAGGTATCATAATTTGCAGAATGAGAGTAGAAAGTGAATGCTTATATACACTAAAATGTGGAGAACCATTGAGAGCTGGCCAAGACGAACTGTGCTAATTAAAACCACAGATACCCACATTAATTGAGACACAATTCTATTTCTCCACTCTCTTTGTTTCTTATGTAATTATAAGGCAGTGTCAGAAAGCCTAGGGGAGTAAGAATAATGAAGATGTTTTTGCAACTTTGTTCATTTGTGGAACACTCTAGTTCTTCATATAAGAGTGATTTTCAACTCTGGCCACATATAAAAACTAGCTGTATTCATAACACAGGATGGCCAGGCTCAACCCCATAGCTACTAAATTCCACAATCTCTGGAAATGGGTTTAGGACATAAGGAATTTTTTTTTGAAAAGCTCCTCAACGGGCCCTAATACACAACCAAGGTGAGAACTGCCATCCTAAAGCCTGTGGGTGGTAGCTACTGAGTGATCGAAAGACTTTACGTATCAAGTTACCAGGTTGAGAATTTCTAAGGTGAGAGGGACTTCTGAGATTTTAACATTGCCATATCAATCGCATATTGCTATCTGTAGAGTCCTCTTCTGCTTGTAGTATCTATTGTCTGTCATAGGAACAATGAAGTTTAAAAGCACAGAAAAAATCCATGGCATCCCCAAAAGCAAACTGGAGGAAAAGAAAAATCACCCATTAATTAAATACCATCGTTACTGGGGATGCTCACGTTTAGAAGAATTTTAAAGAAATTCTTTAAATGAGAGTGGTAATGAGGTTACCCAGGTGCTCACTTCCTTTTGTGAAAGATCTTTCCATTTTTATGGTAGTCAATAACAAGTAGTCAACTTGCTACAGCATTTTCTCCACTAGAACCATTTACTCATCATCAGTGATTTTTTTGCTACTTTTCTTTCCCAGAGATCTATAGATCTTAGACTGGAAAGCCTGGAGAACAGGGTGCCAAGTTTTGCCTACCACTGGGCCTTTTTTCCCTCTTCATAATTCATCTGAAATTTTTAACGAAGGCAGCTTAACACTGGGCCTTTTTTCCCTCTTCATAATTCATCTGAAATTTTTAACGAAGGCAGTTTAACACTGGGCCTTTTTTCCTTCTTCATAATTCATCTGAAATTTTTAACAAAGGCAGTTTAACAGAATGGTTCTGTCTTTTTCTTATTCTAAATAATTCTATATTGAGTGTGAGAAATGTATTGAACCTAAATCATGAAGATATCAAAGTTCAAGTCTTCAATTTTGTTAGTGACTTTTAGAGTGCTATCTGGGTGAGTTTTAGGTTATTTCTCATTATTTTTCCTAGTTATGGATAACTAACCCATGGTTTGCATTCAGGGAGTTATAAACAAATAGAGACATGTTTATGAATGATTCAAGCATTAGTGCATCACCTCCCTCCTCACAACAAAAGAGCTGTACTCTAAATAGGACCTGTCAGCACATCTCGCTTTTAAAAGAATTTTTCAGTGCTTACATTTTTCCTAGGATTCACGAGATGACTGAAATGAACCAGAGAAAAGAAAATGTCTTTAAATTCAACCTAAGAAACACCATTTTGCAATTTATATAAGTCATAGGACATAAAAATAAATTAGTAATTTCCATTACTTTCATAAATCTGTTACAATCCTGCCAATTCTATTAAATTTTATAGTAATAGAATTCGTATACCCTTTTGAGGAGGGAACATTAATTTTACCTTGTGTTTTTCTTTACTTCCTTGCAAATGTTGAAATAGTAACAAACTAAACTAACTGGCTTATCGTGCATGTGCAATGCAATATGATGTCTCAGAAAAGCTGTGGAGCATGTCTTTGCATAGGAATTTGAGTCCCTCGACTGTGGGCATTACGATTTTCTTCTGATTTACTTTTAAAAGGGATCCTGTTTCATCTTCCTTCTCAGGACTGTTTCTCACTAGCATTTAGGGTGTCAGAAGAAGTTTCAAGACTTGTTCCGAGTTTTTCACTCCTTCTACTGCAGATAAAGAAGAAAAAAAAAAACCCATACATTTAAAGAACAGAAGGTGGAGTGCTTTTTAGTATCTCAGCTTTCCAGTTTAGTCTTTAAAATTATTCAGATAACCAGACCTGTATATGTTCATATAATAAAACTGCACTTCTATAATTAGAAAGTGCTTATTCAGTTCTGAAGCAGTATGCTTTTAAAAGGCAATGTCTAATAGACACTTCTCAAAATGATATTGGTTCCTGTCTTTAAAGGTAACTAATTTATTTGTCATGACAAAAACATACACAAATTTTAAAAGCTAGAGAAAAAACACACAAAACCTTTGTTTGAATGAAATTATTTTTTCCAGTAGTCCAATAAAGCCATATGTTCATGCAGCTATGGTATGTGTCCTGTCTTGAAAACTTTTGTCATAAAATAGATGGCATCAGTCTTTAGTCTGATGAATCTTTCAGACTGTCATAGCTCATCTAGTGATCAGAGTTATGGAAAACTAGTTTTAATGTTCTAATACTCTCAGGCGAAACAAAATCAGAGAACAATGAAGACATCAGAAATTATGAATCCCTAAACTCTGTGACCTACACAACAGTAAGACAGAAGAGACAGAAAATGGCTTTTGTCAACAAATAAGTAAGGGGTTAAAGGGGAAAAGAAACAGAGCAGAGATACATGTATGAGCCTGAACTATAAGAAGCTGATATTTTTTGTTCGTCAAAGATCGTCAAGTACCGAAAATCTTTAAAAGTCCAAACTAATAACAAAAGTTGCACAAGTAAATGTGTGGCACAAAATGCCTCCCCTTCCCTCTGCAGCTGAATTGCTTTACCTTCTCTTTTCCTATATCAAAAAGGAAATAAAGCAAAAATAAACCCATAAACAAATATAAAAGGAAAAATTTAAAAATAAAAAACATGAGACAGAAAGAGAGTAAAGAGGTTAGAAATTGAGGAGGAAAATGCAGGCACAAAAATTAAAAAGAAATTGCAGAAAAAATAAAAAGTGAAGCAAAGTGAAACACAGCAACTAGAAAAATAATGGCATTTCACATGGCAAAACCACATGTAAAAATAACCTGTTTTATATCACTAACTGCTCTCAGAATCAGTGTTACTGGCAATTTGATCAAAGTGCTGAATCTTAAATTGAGCTGATAAAAATATATATAATAAAATAAAAATAAATTTAAAAGGAAGTCCCTTCTGATTTGATCATGTGTATTATTCAAATCCACACTTCTTTTCATGGAATGATGTCTTTAGGTGAAGAATAAGAGATACATAAATGAAAAAGATTGTATCTACTTTCGATCTACTAATAATGTTTCTTATGATTAAATATTTCTAATAATAACAGTTTTGCTTTTTACTAACTCCCCTCAATGGTAAAAAGTATGCTATTTTGGAACTAATATGCTTAATTAAAAAAGAATCAGATGCCAATGTAAATAGAAAATGGCAGAGCAAAACACAGACAGTTGAGTAAGGAGATATGCCAGATGGAAAAATGTTATATAAAGAAATAGGAAAAAAAAACCATAGACATTAATACAATGGAAGATCTGTAGATTTATAATTAAAAATTATCACAGATGCAATTATCTAGAGTAACTAAACATTTTTGCACAACGAATTTAGAGGTATGCAACCTTCATATTTTTTTCTCTAAGAAAGATACTATTTTTCTTGTTAAATGCAAATAATTTTAAATTATATTTCTATTGTGTAAAAAAAAAAAGCCAAAACGATTCCTTGTAGCTTTTGAATTTTCACAGGCATTATTAAGAATCTCAGGGCCCAATAAAATAATACATCCAAAGAAAACATGTAATCAATTTTTACCTAAATACACTAGCGTACTTACTTAACTTTTACAATAAGATTAAAAGTAACAGTAAATTTTCTGGCTATGACAATTGTTTGAATAAAAAACAAAAATAGTGACATAATTATCTTTAAATCACAGGTTTCTTTGGTTGTCCCATCAATATTTTCATCCACGTAGTTTAAATAAAATTGTAAATGGCATTCTAGTGTGTAACATTTGGAAAGATGAACCAGCATGACCAAACATTTGCAAACAAATCTTAAAAAGTCATTTAAGTAGCAGTTTATCTTCCACCAAGTGTGTAACTGGCGGCCTGTGGTTGTCACTTACTAGAATTAGTGCTGTCATCCTTGGTTCCATCGAGAGCTCCATCGGGGTGCATTTGCAAGTAGTAGCCTTGCCTGCAATATAACCTGGTCACTATACCCTTGAGCTGGGGATCTGAAAGGCAAACATAGTTATCATAAGCCTCACAGTGTGTCACCATAGTTTCCTTTTTCTTTTCTGTTTCTTTTTCTTTCTTTTTCAGAAGAGGACATTTTATACAAGTAGCACATTTTATTTTGTCTCCCAGATTCTTCTGTGTTTTCTCAAACCTGCAGTATACTATTTATAGAAGGTAAAGGAAGTGCAGTAGTGAGCCACAGAAACAGGCTGTTTTATAAAACTAGTATATGTATATTTAAATTATTTGTTAAAACTATTACACTCATTAAAGTGTCATTTTAATTATTAGTGTAAATTATAAATTATAAACTAATTAATATAAGCAATATTACCATTCATGACGGTAGTGCAAGAGTTTGGCAAACTGGTGACTCTCAGAAATTTTATCAAAGCCTTTTTTTAGTGGAGTTCTCCTTTTACTTAAATTGACAAGTAATCCCAAAATTAAAAACAAAACAAAACAAAAAAATCTATATTTTAAAAACATTCATACTAATATTTGATACCTATTCTTAGGAAAAGCCCCAATTTGGAGAACATCCCTTCATGTTCAAAGGGTCATTCTTACTTCCTTGGAAGTATCTGTGGTGCTTGGACATGATCCACAGGAAAATGGAAAACTCTACTTGTGAGTTCAGGGAGAAACCCAACTAACCCATGCATGTGAGGTCAGCTCTGAGGCAATCAAATAGAGAAATTAGACAAATTAAACAGATAAACTCATTAACTTGTATAAATAAAAAGGACAGTCAAATTATACAATATGAAACCTGATTCTCTGTCAACAGGCACTGAAATAGAGGGCAGTGGAAGTTTATTTAAACAAAAGGGGAAATCACGCAGTAATAGATCCTCATTTGATGATTCATTGAAAAGACAACCACTCTAGTAATCCAGTGCTTCACAAAGAGCCAGTTGTACCTTTGAAAACAAATATTTGTATGTGGTTTTGCAAAGGCCATCCTCATCTCAGGGACAGATTGGATGTGGGACATCATAATCTTCACCATGGCAACTGGCATTACTCAACAACAGCTGAATGGGCCATGCTAATGCAATGGCTGTCAAAACAGTGGGACGTTACTGAGTAATAAAACCTAGCACCTTGTAATCTATAGAAAAAATTGTGGTCTTGCAAATAGGTAAAGACAAAAAAAAATGCCAAAAAAAATACTGTTCAAAAACAGACTATTCTTAAGCTCTTTATTAGTTCTGAAGACATTACAAAGAATTTCAATATCTATTTCTATGCACATTTTTTATAACTGATCATTTGAGACATGACTCCACTGTACACAGATTTGCTTCATAGATGATATAATATTGGAAACTAGTGCATGAACAGCACAGCATCACATCAGTGTGACTAGCCCTATCAGAATATGAAAGCTTTTAAAAGACTAGGATTTTGAAAATAAATATAGAGGTGATTATTGGATTGTGTTACATATGTTCCTTATTCTGTAGTATGTAACTTCCAGAATACATAATCCTAAAATATGCACTAGTTGACAACAATACAATTGTGCCTTAGTCTGCCCATTCCTCAGCATACTTGACTGGGCTAAGTACTAACGATTTCTTTCTTAGTTTGCTGTATTTTATTTATGCTCTTCACTGAAAATAAGTAGCATGAAAAAGAAGAGAACAAAAGCAAAAAGAGTAAAAAATGTAAAAAAAATAATTTTGTATGATTCTCTTGTCAAGAAAAAATACTGAGATTATTAGTGATTCACAATTTTCTATAAAACCTTTATGTTCTGCCATCACTTGTTTCTAAGCGATCTCCTATTTGAGCTACTATGTCTTCTGGAGTTGAATTAACTAGATCAGGCAAGGCAGTGAGAAGCCACCTACACACTCACACACTCGCACCCTCACACTTACACAAACAGAGTCCTTTGGGATTATGCCTCACTTTGGATGAGGGAGCACAAATAAAATGTAAAATTATGTCTTTGAGCTTTCCTTTAACTTCAAGAAAATACAAACAAATTAATTTTGATTTATCTGGTTACATATTGTTAGATGTTTTTCCTTTTTAGAAACCATAACGCCACTGATTTTGTTCTTCTCAGGTGCCAGGCACTGTTAGAAGCATATGCTATTATTAACTCACTGGATCCTCACCATGACCTTACTTAATAGAAACCCACTTTGATGATGAAGAAATCAAGACATAGAGCAATTAAGTATTAATAATATGACAAAGGGCACATAACTAAGTCAACAGCTGGAGTCTGAGCACTTGGCTCTGGGCCTTGCCCACTTAACTGTTACCTGACGCAGCCTCTACGAGTGGAACAATTGAACTAAAATGTCTTCAACACTAAACATAAAATGCAAATCAATCAGTTTCAAAAACCAAAACCAACTTGTATTTTGAAGATTAACCACAACTCTGTCTAAACCCAAATCCTGCTACCCAGAGCTGAATTTGTGTTTACAAAGCAGAAATACAAAGGTTAGAAAGGATCAAAAATCTTTAAAAATCTCTTCTGGGATCCATCCCACTTTTCTATTGGCCGCATTTCCCATAAATCTGTCCTGTTAAAACCTCACCAAAATTGCTAGTCAGTACCATAAGTTTAAAACACATGAGTTGCTCGATTCCTTTTGATGCTTCTTCACAGTATCTTTCACTTTTTTTTTTTTTTTCTATTTTCACTGCCAGCCCCTCATTACCTCTCTTACGTGGTCTTCCCACCTGCAGTTTGTCTGTTCAAATACATCAGATCTGGAAATACGCAGTGACTCTTCACTGCCCACTGAATTATGTACGCACCTTGCCACAGTAAGACCCTACCTTATCTGATGGCTCTGCTCATTATAGCCCTTACCCATTCCCTGCAAGTAGCTTCAACTGAGTCACTTGGGTTACCTACAAATATTTCATAATTTCCCAAATCTATACTGTTTTCTTAACCTTATCTGCCTCAGATATGGCCACCTACATTAAAATGGCCCTTTGCACATCTGAATAGGCATGTACCCACACTCACACACCTTTGTAGTTACCTCCTTTTCCTCCTCCCCACTCTCCTTCTATCAACACTTCCACTTCCTCAAGAGTACTTTCCTGAAATCTCAGACCAGGTCAAATTCTTCCTTCAGACAATTTTATGGTATCATAGGTGAATGTGTAGCAATTTATGTGTTCCTGTTTAAGTAGATTTATAAGTTATATTATCTAGTTTAACTGAAGTTAGAATCATTTATGGGGGAAAATCTCATAGAGATAATATGCATTAGAGATGATACTAATAAAATAAGCAAAAATAAACACCAAACCAGTAACAAAGATGAGATTTTTCTCTTACATGGATTATCTGGTTAAAAACAAGTACAAAAACTAGTAACAAAAACAAATGATGAACTACTGAAATCTAACATGAAATCAGGCAAAGGAGTTTGAAAATGTAAAGACAGCCTGAAATATTGGTACCATAATTAAAATGAAACCTCATCCTAAATACACATAATACCTTCAGATATAAAAGTGTGAAAATATTACATGTGTGAGACAAATGTGTTCTGTACATCTGTCAATAAATGGATGGAATAAGAAGGCTTGCATAATATTTTTCTAGAAAATGTTAAATATAAATCCGACAAGAACACGTATTTTTGTTTTAAATACTGATGTACCCCAAACTCTTACAATACAGGTTCCCAATGAATAAGTGAAAAATGAATAAATAGCTGAAGTCCTATACTTATATTTTAGCTAGGCATGCAAAAATGCCAAACACTTTTTAGTTCATAAAATTATTAGAGTTCTTTATTCTCTTCTAAAACATTTGGGCTCGGAATATCTACTCTGCTTTAGAAAATATAAAAACGTAGTCTCTCTTCTTTGCCTGTCTTAATTCCCCTTTTCCTCCAGTTTTGTCTTTTATTTCTATTTAGCACGGCTGATAATTTTACTAAAAATGTTTTGAAGATAATCCTTGCAAAAAACTATGATCTCTGATTTTAATTAAAATAGACATAATGGAAACTAATGTGCGTACATATCAATAAAAAAAGATGTTTCATAATATATTACCCTTAACACTCAGAACTGAAAGAAATGCAAATCAGCCCAATGCCTTCAGATTCAGAGGGAAAATACCCAACATTTTTAATTAAAACACTCGTTCTCTCAGAAGCGGGTTCAATTAAATCAATCACTGTCATAAATGATTTTCATGAAATGTGCAGACTGGTAAAAGAAGAATCAGGATAACCCATCAAATGGTGTATATATTTTAAATCATGATTTAAATAGAAAAATGTACACTATGACATATGTTTTTCTGTAGCAAATACATTAATGTATATACATCATACAAACTATGTTTATATACACATAAATCTCAGTACTAATTGGTTATCAGTGTAGGTTCCTAAACGTAGGTTCTCTTCTATTAGCTATGGAAAATCACACATTTTTATAGGGTAAAAACAACTTTTGTGATATACATTTTTTTTGGCAGAAAAAAATGTGGCAGATCTAATTAGATTTTGGCACTCCCAGTAGCAGAAAATAGTATTGTGAATAATTTGCTTAAAGATATGCATTATCATATAATCCAACCACAAAAATAAACCCTGCCCAGGAACTTTTCCAAAGGACTGAGAAAATAAAGGTGGAATAGGGACACTAAGGAAAATGATAGATAAAACTAAAGGCATATGAAAATTCGCCATCCCTGTTTATCCCTTAAGATTACATTCAATTTCCTTCATGGATTGACCCAATGCTACCTCGAGAACCCCTTCCCTCTGGAAACCTGGTTCTAGCTACTTCAGAGTGATTCCCCAACTCACGGTCCCAATCCAATGTACTACTATGTGTGTTAAATTTTAACACTGCTTCCACAGACTAGAATAGCCCTCCACCACTTCTCTGTCTATCAGCATCTTATGCCTGCAGGCACTAGCGTCTTGCATTAAAAACAAACAGGCCAGGCACATGGTTTACAGCTGTAATCCCAGCACTTTGGAAGGCC